ATGTTTTTTTTTAAGCAGACTGCACACGACAGCCACAAAGGAAAGAAACTTGTGTTTCACAAAGTTGATACTTCTTGAACAAAATGATTAGAATATAACTTATACAATGTTTATTTATTTAAGATACATTAAAAGTGACTTCACTGAACAGAGATACAGATCATTCTCTACAGATGCTCCAGGAAGTGATGAGACTTCCCCAATATATACACACAATACATGTTAAGACACAGTAATATATGTATTTTTTCTCTATGTAGGTTGTAAAATGTTACCAGATGAAAACCTCCAAATGTCAACATGCTGGAACTCAAAAAGGTAATGTTTTATCAGCTGGATGATGGTACATTTTGGTCTCATCTAAAGGTATTTGTTTTTTTTAGCCCCAGACTCAAGTGTGATCAACATACAGAGTATTATTATTATTATTATTAGAATCTGACCAAAGGACAGTACGTCTGATAGGAAGGGTCAGTTCAGTTGAACCATGACCCAATTATAAAAGAACACTGTGTATATGAAATTACATATAATTAAAGAATAAGGAACACTATGATCATATGTTTTGTAACAGCAATCATTTGAAAAACTTCAACCTAGTACAGTAAGTATTATTTAAATATCATTATGGTGATATAAATGGTCCCTACCACTATTTACCAACTGAATGAATTACACAACAATCTTTTGATCAATACTAAAATATAACTGTGAGTAATTACTAAATATAAACTTATTGCAGATACCTAATCATACATGGACACTAGATGGCAGTATTACGATATGAAACTAAAACATGTTTGACTCCTTGTATTAATATATTTATTATTTTATGTCATACAGAGATCACAGTTGGATTGAACATCAAGATAACAACTGCTGATCAATGTTAGCTGGATTACCAACTGATTACATGTTTCATGCACAATGATGCAGAGTTGGTTAAAAGGAAGAGTATGAAGTGGTTTCCAGGATGGTGTTTCTGAAGAGTCCATCTTTACTCTCAGATCAGGTCAGAAAGAAAGGGAGGGGGAGTCTCTGTGTTTGTGTGTATGTGTGCAGATCTGGTTGTCAGGAACAGAAGAGGCGCTCACACTTTAGTGATAATCACAGTTGTTTTGACATGACCTCCTTGGGGGAAGCCAAAACAATATCAGTCATAGATGAGGTCTTATTTCTCTCCTGTAGAAAGAACTAGAACACCTGGTAATCCAGGCCTGTCTTTAAAGCTGATCTTTCCTCAGAATGGGTGATTTCTCCATTCTGTTTAATATCAGTGTGATAGTGTTTGAGGGAAAGGAGCAAGTTAAGTTATAGTGTATATGCCTGGCTTCAATTATTTGCATCCTGCAGTGCCGTTACACCTTGGGCTCCTTTATGTGAATGACCCAAGTATTGATTGTTTTTCATCAGTTATATGAGTTGAAGATTTAGAAAATAAGTTGAAACACTGTGACGAGTGCAGGCTTGAATCTCAAAGAAGAGGCAGGAAGAAAGAGTCAAGTAAATAACTTCTATTTATCTAAAACCTACAAGCTCAACACACAATAGAAAACAAATACATTTGAATCTTTTTACTGGCTATCACAGCAGTGCTAATGAAATATAACACAAATATACAACAAAATAAAATGCTTCAAATGGCAAAACAACATAAAAACAATAAGATGGGCTCACAGTCCATCATACAATGTTAAATCCTAATAACCACTGGATCATACAATATATTAACAAAAGGAATGTAAATTAAAATGTATATTACAACAAGAATTTATTCCACTATTCACAAAGAATATTTTTAGTTAAAAAAATGAAAATTGTCTCGACTAAAATATCTGAATAAACAGAAACACAATGAGAGCTGCAATACTCGACAGTTTTGTGTTTTGGTCAAACAATTGTGTTTGCTGACCAACAAAGATGCAATCTATTTCAACAAGAACTCTGACTTTCACTTGTGACAATCACGCTGCCAACTCTGACTAATGAAATATTAAATTCAACTGAGTAATAGTTTTAGTACCAGTTTAACAGAACAACAGTCTTAATGCTGAGCAAAGCAACAACAAACTAGAAACAACTACACAACATTTGATAAGAACACTGAGGCACAAATCCAACTGTCCCCTTCCTCAGACAGAAAACACTCTTGCAGCAGGTTTTCTGAATATGACATTATGGGAAGTCTCATATCCTCTGATTTATTTTGGTTGGCTGAGATAGCTGTAGAGGCCGCTGGGATCATTGTCTGCTTCTGTCTTCAATGAAGTCTTGACTGTAGAATAAGTCACCTCCTCCTCCTCCTCCTCCTCTTTGACCTGTGTGACACAATCCAGAGGTTTACAGTGACATTGTGATGAGCTGTGATTGGTTTTCATTCACATCGGGACCAGATATAATTACAGTCATATTTAGGAAGCTGGCTGTGCACGGGGGAATTATCATGTTGAAACAGTCGCCACAAAATTGGAAACACATCTTAAAATATGATTTTAGTCTTTAGCATTAAGATTTAAAATGAACATAACACATGCTGTGTAATTGATCATCAGCATATTAATAAAATATTGCAAAACAATTTCACTGCAAAGCTACAGAAGGTATTACTGCCACACCAGAAAAAGTAAAACAGATCAGTATCACATTATAACATGAAAAGTTTATTGTTATAACAAGATATTTTCATGTTATTACGATATACAAACTAATTACCTTATAACAATTAACTTGTGAAACGTGTAACAGCAGAAATGATAGTGACATGTATAACAATATTAGTTATTATATTATAACATGAAATATTTTAGTTATAACAAAATAAATAGTATTTTGTTATAAAGAGAATATACAACAAGAAAAGTTATAACGTGATAAATTTGTGCTTATACAATATAGTAATATAAAATATCTTGTTATCATGTGAAAAACATCTTATAAACTTTTCACATTGTAACGTGATACTGATCAGTTTCTTTTTTTCTGGTATGACAGCAACACACTGCCGACAAAGCAAATTTAAGATTAAACCATTATTGAAGAAGAAAAGCACAGCTGAATAAATACAGGCGTATCGAGTCACTCACCTTTTTCTTAGGAGAGGTCTGTTGATTACCATGGCTAACAGTAGCATAGGTCAGATTGCTCTCTGGCTCTTCCTGAGTACAAATAACACAGTGGGTTATGAAACACAAACAGAAAGTGTTCACTGTATTGACTCTCCAGAAATGTCTTCCTGAAAACCATCTCATACTCTTCCTTTTAACCAAGTCTGAAAATTATGAATTAAACATGAAATGAGTCAGTAATCCAGCTAACGTTAATCAGCAAACATTGTCTTGATGTTTAATCCAACTTTATTGTCTGTATGACATAAAATAAGAAAGATATTAATACAAGGAGTCCAACGTGTGGTCGTGTTTCTGAGGTGAGGAAAGGGAAACATACCTCATCATTTACTGTCAGTTTGTCAGCAGTGGAATAATGCTGTAATGGATGTACAGTAAATATTGTTTGAGTACATATTAGTACATTTTAGGAAGCATATGAATATGATTGGGAGGTAACACAGTTGGTATTTGTCTTGTGATTGTTACATTTTACTCACAGGGTGTTGGGTTGGTTTTCGAACATCTGGAACAAAAAGTAACATTTGAAAGATTAGTTATCATCATTCTTTACATTATACACGTTATCTTTTATACTGCGGCCATAAAATACACTTGTTTGTGATTGACTGTCTGTTTCTATTAGCTAGGTTTGTATTATTGGTAATGAAAGGCATATATAATAATATAGTATAACATAGCATAACATCATAATAATATAATTTACCTTTCAAGCATATTGTACATTATGTGTATCACATCATAATACTTTGTTTTACTGACCTGCTGTCACTTTGGCTCTCTTCCTGTATTTGATGAGAACAGCAGCGATGACAACCAGCACTACCACCACCCCGACCACTGCACCAATTATGATGTGGGTCTGATTATGAAACTGATCTGTAGTCAGAGGATACCAGTTAGAAATTAAATTCATGAGAAAATAGGTAATCAACTTAATAGAAAATATGTGATCAGATAGAGTTTTTGGTCAAATGTGGATTTTAAATATTTAAAAATTTGAACAAACTGGCAGGTGCAGAACATCATGTCAGATTTCACTTCCATGTTCTTTCTAAGCAGACTGCACACGACAACCACAAAAGAAACTTTGTCTTCACAAACTTGATACTATTTGTCCAAAGTTATTAGAATATAACTTATACAATGATTTTAAGTAAGTAACAAATTATCTAAGATACATTTAAAGTGACTTCACTGAACAGAGGTACAGATCATACTCACACACAGTACAAAATAAGAAGTACACTGCAACAGATATTGTAGTTCATTCTCAAGAAAGACTCAATAATAACCTGAATAATAATCTTCAGTTTTCACTCATCCATTCATTTGTCTCAGGGTTGGCAAATATGACTTAATCAAGTGTTACTTCAGAGGTCAAGGAGCACATCATCAGCTAACATTAGTTTGTGAGGTTACAGGTTGTAATTACAAGTTTTTATATTTCTCTCTACTTCTTTACAGTATATTAGTCACTAGTTTCTTTCTTAAGGAACAAACTGATTAAAGTGTGAATGTTTTGTCATCTGAAGCTACATAACATTTGCTTGTTGTTGGCAAAGAAAACTGTTAAATTATTTAAAGCATTTAAGGTGTAAAAAGATGTAAACATTAAACAATCATGTTAACTGAAAGCTATAATCCCTAGTGAAATTTTTATATCTGTTGAGCTGCATATTATCTTACCTGAATGAGGTTTTTCGGGCTGATCGTCTCCTGTCCCTCCTATGAAGACAGGTGTGTAGTCAGCCTCTATCTTTACATTGTTCTCATCAACAAACTGGCAGGTGTATGTCCTGTTGTGGCCACTCTGACGCTTCACTTTCAGACCAGAGACACAGTCCTTCTGTTTGAGGAACTTGTACCCGACACCTTCATCAAGCAGCACAGTTCCTGTCTCATTCACCCAGCGGACGCTGTTTAGTTCACAACGATCGAGTCCAATGTATCTCGACAGAGAGCACTCTAATGTGACTTCACCGTCCCTCTTTGGATCAGCGTCTGGAGGAGATGGAGAGACTGAGAGAAAACAAGTGATAACTGTTAACTTAGTGTAAAAAATGTTTGAGCGACTTTACTAAAAGGTCCTGACAAGTTTCTATTCATCTTCTGTCATCTTTGTTTTACTGAGTTAAAATATGAAGGTGGACTGAACCAAATGGAATCAACAACTTTCAATCCTGGCTTGACAAACAAACTAAGTAAAGAAAATGAAAAAAGGAAACCTGTAAAGAATATTTATCAGTAAATTGAAACTGAGGTAGAATTATTATTTTTTATAAATGAAGGAGCAGGAGAACTGCAATCAACAATGGCCAATCAGATTATCTCCTCTCTTTCATTGAGCTCCATCCACTCAACCTACACTTCTTTTCTGTGAGTATCACTCATGTTAAGAGCCGCCCCAAACCAGTATATAAAGCATATAAACAGGTTAACGGGTCACTGTCCCCCTTAATCAGAAACTGACATATCACACTGACAGACACCTCGCTCACTGGTCGGGTTTGGGAAATGCGTTTTAAAGAAGAGACATAGTGGACAGTGAAAGGGTGTATAACTGGATTGAGGTTTAGCTTGAAACAATACTGAACACCTCTAAGACCATGGAGATGGTGGTGGACTTCAGAAGGAAGAAACCACATCTCCAACCCATGTCCATCGATGTGGAGGTGGTCAGGATCTATAAATATTTGGGGATGCAGCTGGAACACAAGCTGAACTGGACAGAAAATATGGACACTTTACACAGGAAAGGGCAGAGCCGTCTGTACTTCCTGAGAAGGCTGGGGTCCTTCAACATCTGTAAAAAACTGCTGCAGATGTTTTACCAGTCTGTGGTGGCCAGCGTCCTCTTTTATGCTGTGGTTTGCTGGGGAGGAAGCAGCAAGAAGAGGGACACCGGTCGACTGGACAGACTGGTGAAGAGAGCTGGCTCAGTGGTGGGCACAGAGCTGGACTCTGGTGACAGTGGCAGAGAGAAGGACCCTGGACAAACTGCTGTCCATGCTGGACAACGCCCACCACCCTCTGCACAACACCTTCATCGGGCAGAGGAGTGTGTTCAGTGGCAGACTGCTGTCCCAGTCCAGCTCCACCAACAGACTCACAAACTCTTTCGTCCCCCATCAGACTGTACAACAACTCTCAGTAAAGGCAGGGAGGACAATAGACAATGGACAATTTCTACCTGTATTTGCACTGTTTTACTTCCATTTGCACTGTTTACTGTAGCTAATGTATATATATATAATATTTTATATTTTTCTTTTATTTCTTTTTATTTTATTCTTAGGGTTACAGTTTTTAATTTTAGTTTAATGTATGTTTAATGTATATTTAATGTATGTTTTGTATTTTGTATGCTACTGGATACTTGAATTTCCCTCGGGATAAATAAAGTATCTATCTATCTATCTATCTATCTATCTATCTATCTATCTATCTATCTATCTATCTATCTATCTATCTATCTATCTATCTATCTATCATCTACCCAAAAAACATTTGCCAAAAGTAGAATTCTCCCTCAATGAGTTTTCATGGATTCGAGACTCACTTGTCAGAACACTTAGATATACAGTTGCATTCTTATTAGGGCTCGTCCCATGGCGACAGGTGTATTGACCAGCATCCTCAGCAGTGATGTTGTTAATGGCCAAAGAGCAGGAAGTGTCCAGACTCATCCTGGCAGCTCGGGCTGAGCTCTTCTCAACTTTTCCTTCCTGAACCTCAGTTAAAGTCTGAGATCGATCTCTGTTGTAAAACCATGTAACGTTGGAGCATGCTGTGTCAGAGGGTGATGCACTGGTACAGAGCAGAATAACATCATGTCCAGATCTGTTGTAGAGATAGATAGGTTCTCCACTGATGCCTGCTGGGAAGAAAATAATACATGTTCTGTAAGAAATGACATCTTAAAAATGCGATGATGATTGGCTGGGTGGGCGGATGCCAAGACAGAGACAATGGCGACGAGCTCGGGAAATTCAAAGGTAGCGATATCAAACTGGAAGTACCGACACTACTACTCGCTTACTGAAGTTAAAGGCAAGAATGTTTATGTAACGTGTGAATTTTATTTTCAATATTTATTTTGTATATATTTTTATTTCTATGCATATGGCCGGCTGCAATCTATTGAGTTCAAATAAATACCAAATGTTCTAAAATACTGTGTTTTATTCTTTATTCAGTGATTATAAACATCTTTAACGTTATAGAAGATGTTATAGAAATGTAATTATAGACCATAAAAATAATGTCACAGTTACTTTGCTGAGTAACTAGTTACTTTGACAATGTGGTAACTGAGTTACTATCTCAGTTACTTTTTGGGATAAATAATTTGTAACTATAACTAATTACTGTTTTAAAGTAAGATGACCAACACTGATCCTGACCCATTCATTCACTGCCCAACGAGAGAGAGAGGTTAGAGCTCAATTCTCTCACTGAACAACAGAAAGTGTATAGAAAGATATAAAAGGGAAACAAAGAGAAACTGTTCAATTGTAAAGATGTGTTGATATTAATTTATAAAATTTGTTGAGACTGTTAATCAAGATATGAAACAGTTAACAAAGAAAAAGGGAAACTCAAGCTGCTGCTACACTTTATTTTTCAAAGTTAAACACTGTATTTTATTTTTTAGACTTAGCAGAGGATGTGGAAGCAGGAGCTGCTGACCCAGAGCATGTAGCGAGTAAAGCAGAGGAACTTATTGAAGTTCTTGGAGTTATTTCCGCACTTTCTGACCAAGATATTGACCACAGAGTGACTGCAGATTTAGAAGAAGTAGTCCAATAGCGCCACCCAGTGTATTGGAATATGTTCACTAGCTCTGCATCGATCCATTATCTGGAATTGATTTGTCTTGGCTTGATGCGCAGGGTAACCAATCAGGCGTTAGGTTCCGCCTACCAACTTTTGATGGGTGAGTTTGACAGTTTTAAGTAATTCATGAAGCACTGCAAAGCAGGACCATGAAATGTAAATGTAAATAGTGAAATAATTATATTTGTATTTTACATAAAATGAATCGGTATTTGAATTAATTAATGACATATTTAATAACACATTTATGTATTTAATTCCAATTTTAATTAATGAATGACACATTTAAGTAATTATTTAATGGTGTATTTATTTATTTAATTATGGCACTTTTAGTCCTCCATAAAAAAGCTGCTGTTTGTTATAGATTGAAAGAAATACGGGAGAATTGTAAAATGAGGTAGGAAAGATCTGCAGAACAGCAAAGTTTATATATTTAAGTTTTTATATTTCTGACTTTTTTTACAGTGTAAGTAGACACTAGTTTCTTTTTGTAAGGAAAAACATGATTAAAGTGTGAATGTTTTGCCATCTGAAGCTACATAACATCTGCTTGTTGTTGGCACAGAAAACTGTTAAATTATTTGAATCATTTAAGGTGTAAAAAGAGAAAGCAATGTATCCTAATCATTAAATGATCATTTTAACTTAAACCTTCAATCTCTAGTAATTCTTTATATCTGGTGAGCTGCATATTATCTTACCTGAATGAGGTTTTTCTGGCTGATCGTCTCGTGTCCCTCCTATGAAGACAGGTGTGTAGTCAGCCTCTATCTTTACATTGTTCTCATCAACAAACTGGCAGGTGTATCTCCTGTTGTGGCCACTCTGACGCTTCACTTTCAGAACAGAGACACAGTTCATCTGACTGAGGAACTTGTACCCGACACCTTCATCAAGCAGCACAGTTCCTGTCTCATTCACCCAGCGGACTCTGTTCTGTTTACAAGGGCTGAGTCCATAGTATCTCCACAGAGAGCACACTAATGTGACTTCACCGTCCCTCTTTGGATCAGCGTCTGGAGGAGATGGAGAGACTGAGAGAAAATAAGTGATAACTGTTAAAAAAATGTTTGAGTGACTTTACTTAAAGGACAATGCTGGTGCAAAATGAACCTGGGGTTAATAACACATGTGTACCGAGTTGGTCTGTTCTCAGGGATATGTTTTCATGCTAATCGACCGTGACCGGTTTTAGCACAAACTGCTAATTAGCTTATAACGCTAGTCAACGGGGCACAGAGTAACGTGAAAAGAAATCACTTTTTATACCACTAACAAGACTCAAAATAGCACCACACTTACACGGTAGCATAATGAGGGTCCCTACCTATAAACCGAAGCATTGAGAACTTTGTAAGTGTACAGACAGTTCATTAAAAAGATAGTTTAGAACAACAGTAGCGTTCGCGTATACAGGCGGGCGCTATCTTGGGAAAACAGTCAGGGGTTCGGTCATTCATGCAGATCAATGATCAAGATTTACAGCTGGCGATGTGAACTAAAACAAACGTAATTTGCTCAATACATCAGAAATAATCACACCGATGTAAAACACAACTTGTCTAGTGTACTTACTCAGTGGATAACTGTCCATCTGGTCTAAGCTAATTAGCGATTTGTGCTAAAACCGGTCACGGTCAATTAGCATGAAAACATATCCCAGAGAACGGACCAACTCGGTACACATGTGTTATTAACCCCAGGTTCATTTTGCACCAGCATTGTCCTTTAAAGGTCCTGACAAGTTTCTATTCATCTTCTGTCATCTTTGTTTTACTGAGTTAAAATATGAAGGTGGACTGAACCACATGGAATCAACAACTTTCAATTGTGGTTTGACAAACAAAATAAGGAAAGGAAATGATAAAAGGAAAACTGTAAAGAATATCTCATTCACTGTGAGGGTCCCTCATGTTAAAGGCCGTCCCAAACCAGAGAGACATTCAGTTCCATGTATAATGTGAGTTTATGGACATTGTCTTCCTCAAATAAAAGGGGTGTCCCCATAATGTGGAGTGTCTTTCACAGCTGAGGGAGTGAGGGAGGGGTCGGTTTGGGAAAAGACCAAAGTGTTAATTACTTTACCGTAATATAAAGAAGGATATAAAATAAACAGGTAAACTCTTCATGGTTCACCTTAATGAGAAACTGACATATTACACTGACAGACACCTTGCTCACTGGTTGGGTTTGGGAAATGCCTTTCAAGAAGAGACATAGTGGACAAGAAAAGGATGTATAACTGGATTGAGGTTGAGCTTGAAACAATACAACATTTTTGTCCCAAAAAACATTTGCCAAAAGTAAAATTCTCTCTTGATCATTTCAATAAGTTTTCATGGAATTGAGACTCACTTGTCAGAACACTTAGATATACTACTGCATCATGATGAAGGCTTGTCCCCTGCCGACAGGTGTATTGACCAATATCCTCAGCAGTGATGTTGTTAATGACCAAAGAGCAGGAAGTGTCCAGACTCATCCTGGCAGCTCGGGCTGATCTCTTCTTAACTTTTCCTTCCTGAACCTCAGTTAAAGTCTGAGATCGATCTCTGCTGTAAAGCCATGTAATGATGGAGCATGTTGTGTCATAGGGTGATGCACTGGCACAGGGCAGAATAACATCATGTCCAGATCTGTTGTAGAGATAGATAGGTTCTCCACTGCTGCCTGCTGGAAAGGAAAGAATACATGTTCTGTAAGAAATGACACATAAAATCATCTGTATGGAGACTAAACAGTTAACATGAGGATTTTATTTCATTTTATTCTCAAACAAAAACAAAGATTGTTCCGTTATGAACTGTTTTTTATTGTTGCTGTTTTTTCACATTTGCAACCACAGGGAGGGAGTGTGTGACCCTCGGCCATCTAGTGGTTGTGTTTATATGAGAGTAATTTTCATTTCTATCTCAGTAAATCAGTGAGTCAAGGGCTCTTTGGGATACAGCTTACCTCCACTGTGAAAACTGGAACAAAACAAGCAACACACAGTCGATCACAATGAACAAATGTTGTCTGAGACCAAATAAAAACTGCAGATCTGATCTTTTTGTCTTTGTTTACTTTTATATGTACTTGTGTCATCTTATGCACTTTATGTACTAACTGCATCAAGTTACAATGTAAATACAATAATACTTTATCATATGGATGGAATAAAGTGTCGGATCTAAAAAAATGCCTTACCACCCCAGTTTGGTGTCAATTGCCATCAAATATGACGTCTATTTATATTTATTTTAGAATTAGTGTGTTAAAAAATGAAACATATATAATTTAATGATCTGTTATGGCCACATTTTAGACTCAGTGATCAGCTTAAGTTCAATAAACACACAAAAATGTCTGAAGATATAGATATTTAACAATTTATTGTTTTCTAATGCCACATTTATATATTTCTATCTAAATCTATTCTATTTCTATTACCAATGTGCCACAATAGTGTAATGTTATTGAGTTAAAATGTGATTAAATCAGCAGATATTTCTGCCACGCTCTTACCACACCATGAATATTTCTCTAGATCCGCCCCTGGGTGGAGTTTAAAGGAACCAATGAGAACACAGAGAGCAGACGGACTATATGATCATTACTTATCTTTATATCTACTATGTTGAAGTATATATGTATTTAAGGATCTATCTAAAAATAATTGATTCATATTGCTATCCTGTTCTTGTCTCACAACCGTTGGTTCATTTTTACAGGCCAGAAAGTTGATCAAAGCTCATTAAAATGGCTTTTAAGTAAGACAATAGTGACTACTTCCTCATTATTTTTCACTCGAGCCGTTAACAAATGTTAATGGAAATTCTCAAACTCTAGTGTTTCTATTAATAATATTGTTATTACCATTTTAATAAGAAAACAGAGCTTTACCTTCAAAGTGAAGCACAAAAATAAGGATTAATTCCAGTAGAGACATTTTGTGTCTATTCTCTGTCAGCAGGCGGACGCTGTGTGAGGCTTTTCTTCTCTACTATAGATCTGTTAATGGCGGCAATGAAACAAAGTTCCTGTTTGTGGATGACTTAGTGTGTGAAAATAACTTTTAAAAGCAACACCCATCACCCAGCCTGTAATAAGTAACACAGAATTTGGCTTACATCACTTCCATGTTCTTTTTAAGCAGACTGCACACGACACCCATAAAATAAACTTTGTCTTCACAAACTTGGTACTTCTTGAACAAAATGATTAGAATATAACTTATACAATGTTTATTTCTTTAAGATACATTAAAAGTGACTTCACTGAACAGAGATACAGATCATTCTCTACAGATGCTCCAGGAAGTGATGAGACTTCCCCAATATATACACACAATACATGTTAAGACACAGTAATATATGTATTTTTTCTCTGTGTAGGTTGTAAAATGTTACCAGATGAAAACCTCCAAATGTCAACATGCTGGAAACTCAAAAGGTAATCTTTTATCAGATGGATGATGGTACATTTTGGTCTCATGCTAAGGAATTTGTTTTTTTTTAGCCCCAGACTCAAGTGTGATCAACATACAGAGTAATGGAAATGATGTTCATTCTGTCACTTCAGTGGTCAAAAGAGGAAGTGACGTGTTTGACGATTCATTGTTACAGAGCATATATTGTCACTTGAGATATGTTGTGTTGTAACATAACTCAAATGCTTAGAACTGGAGTACTTTGTTTACCTTTTTTACAAAAGTGTGAGATGAGATTACCCGCAGGGTTTTTATATAAGTTGAAACAGTCTGGGCAGTGTTTATGAACATAAAGCCTAACGTCCTGCAGTCAATCTCGTTATAGACATATCTAAGATGGTTACAGGAAGTTTTTATTACACAGAAATTAAATGCTCTGAAGGATCTAAATTATAAAACCCAAAACCATAAATTATATGCAGTATATGTTTTTGTCATGGGAATCAATTATGTCCTCTGGATACTTTGATGATAGTTTGTTACTAAAATGACCCACAAGATGGTGCTAATGTTCCTAATTCCTCCATGTCTCACTGACAGTGGCAGACTGTAGTTACAATAAGCTGTACCTCTGTGAAAGTATGAATGTGACTTTAAATCTATTTACTTATTTTTTACTATTATTTGACAAGATAAGTAATTTGTAGAACCATTCATCATTTACAATAATGACCTGACCAGGATAACTTTGTTGGGTTTTCACGAGGCTCGTGCTGATGGAGCTATTCACTCTGTCATAGCCTGCCTCCAACATGAATAAGGCCTGTGTGTGGACAGATTGTTGGTGTAAGGGTGAGTACAGTAGGTGACTGGTTGACAGAAGGGGTCTTTGAGCTCTGAGATGGGCAAGATGTTCTCCGAAGCTATTCACCTGTGCCTGTCTCAGACCTGATAGTGACAACTTCTCCACAAAAGGAGGACTTCATTTCAAGCTGATGGTGATTTAAATCATTGTCGGAGCCATCAGGGGCTTGGGGCCAGGTGTCAGAAGGATGGGTAAGGAATTGAGGCCCTTGACTCTACAGGTTTTGCCACTGGGTCTCTAAAAGGGTTTTGCCCCTGGTAAGGTCATCAGATGGGTCACTGACTGTATTAACATACCTCCAGTCAGCTGTTAATACATTCTTATAGCTCAGAGACTCTGGTACCTTAAAATGGCATCAATCTGCCCGCAACCAAGCCAGTGGGGTAGAATCTGACCAAAGGACGGTATGTCTGATAGGAAGGGTCAGTTCAGTTGAACCATGACCCAATTATAAAAGAAAACTGTGTATATGAAATTACATATGATTAAAGAATAAGGAACACTATGATCATATGTTTTGTAACAGCAACCATTTGAAAAAGTACCTAGTACAGAAAGTATTATTTAAATATCATTAAGATGATATAAATGGTCCCTACCACTATTTACCAACTGAATGAATTACACAACAATCTTTTGATCAATACTAAAATATAACTGTGAGTAATTACTAAATATAAACTTATTGCAGATACCTAATCATACATGGACACTAGATGGCAGTATTACGATATGAAACTAAAACATGTTTGACTCCTTGCATTAATATATTTATTATTTTATGTCATACAGAGATCACAGTTGGATTGAACATCAATATAACAACTGCTGATCAATGTTAGCTGGATTACCAACTGATTACATGTTTCATGCACAATGATGCAGAGTTGGTTAAAAGGAAGAGTATGAAGTGGTTTCCAGGATGGTGTTTCTGAAGAGTCCATCTTTACTCTCAGATCAGGTCAGAAAGAAAGGGAGGGGGGAGTCTGTGTGTTTGTGTGTATGTGTACAGATCTGGTTGTCAGGAACAGAAGAGGAGCTCACACTTTAGTGATAATCACAGTTGTTTTGACATGACCTCCTTGGGGGAAGCCAAAACAATATCAGTCATAGATGAGGTCTTATTTCTCTCCTGTAGAAAGAACTAGAACACCTGGTAATCCAGGCCTGTCTTTAAAGCTGATCTTTCCTCAGAATGGGTGATTTCTCCATTCTGTTTAATATCAGTGTGATAGTGTTTGAGGGAAAGGAGCAAGTTAAGTTATAGTGTATATGCCTGGCTTCAATTATTTGCATCCTGCAGTGCCGTTACACCTTGGCCTCCTTTATGTGAATGACCCAAGTATTGATTGTTTTTCATCAGTTATATGAATTGAAGATTTAGAGGATAAGTTGAAACACTGTGACGAGTGCAGGCTTGAATCTCAAAGAAGAGGCAGGAAGAAAGAGTCAAGTAAATAACTTCTATTTATTTAAAACCTACAAGCTCAACACACAATAGAAAAAAAAATACATTTGAATCTTTTTACTGGATATCACAGCAGTGCTAATGCAATATAACACAAATATACAACAAAATAAAATGCTTCAAATGGCAAAACAACATAAAAACAATAAGATGGGCTCACAGTCCAAACATACAATGTTAAATCCTAATAACCACTGGATCATACAATATATTAACAAAAGGAATGTAAATTAAAATGTATATTACAACAAGAATTTATTCCACTATTCACAAAGAATATTTTTAGTTAAAAAAATGAAAATTGTCTCGACTAAAATATCTGAATAAACAGAAACACAATGAGAGCTGCAATACTCGACAGTTTTGTGTTTTGGTCAAACAATTGTGTTTGCTGACCAACAAAGATGCAATCTATTTCAACAAGAACTCTGACTTTCACTTGTGACAATCACGCTGCCAACTCTGACTAATGAAATATTAAATTCAACTGAGTAATAGTTTTAGTACCAGTTTAACAGAACAACAGTCTTAATGCTGAGCAAAGCAACAACAAACTAGAAACAACTACACAACATTTGATAAGAACACTGAGGCACAAATCCAACTGTCCCCTTCCTCAGACAGAAAACACTCTTGCAGCAGGTTTTATGAATATGACATTATGGGAAGTCTCATATCCTCTGATTTATTTTGGTTGGCTGAGATAGCTGTAGAGGCCGCTGGGATCATTGTCTGCTTCTGTCTTCAATGAAGTCTTGACTGTAGAATAAGTCACCTCCTCCTCCTCCTCTTTGACCTGTGTGACACAATCCAGAGGTTTACAGTGACATTGTGATGAGCTGTGATTGGTTTTCATTCACATCGGGACCGGATATAATTACAGTCATATTTAGGAAGCTGGCTGTGCACGGGGGAATTATCATGTTGAAACAGATGCCACAAAATTGGAAATACATCTTAAAATATGATCCTAGTCGTTAGCATTAAGATTTAAAATGAACATAACACATGCTGTGTAATTGATCATCAGCATATTAATAAAATATTGCAAAACAATTTCACTGCAAAGCTACAGAAGCGTATTACTGCCATGCCAGAAAAAGTAAAACAGATCAGTATCACATTAAAACATGAAAAGTTTATTGTTATAACAAGATATTTTCATGTTATTGTGGAGTGCAATAAGTGAGGAGACAAGAGACGGAGATGCGTCGAGTCAGCTTTACTCTCCACTTTAATATAATAACACACTGTACAGCGAGTGAGGTCAGAGAACGGCTACACTACGTTAACCCGGAACCGGCATCCCCTCACACCTCTCTCTTAAAGGTACAGTCCCCTGGTGAATGTCTCTTTCAGTCTTACTTATGGGTCACCACACAGGCCCCCCCAGAATTCACCCATAATAACAGGGCCAGACCGAACAGGTACCCCATATAGAACATAGGACACTATTCACTAGTGCAAAACAGAACAGTCCCTCTCATAACAGTCCCTAGAAAAGTTAACGTTTAGGGGGGCGGACCAGGCGGCCATAACGGCTGCGCTTAACAGGAGAGGGGCAATGGGCAAGGGGCAGGGCAGGGGCAGGGGTCGAGGCTGGCGCAGGGGGGCGCCCTCGCCGTGGGGGCTGGGCCAGCTGAAGCGGTTCGCCAATATCCACATGAGCAGGCTTGAGACGGTCTATAGCCACCCGCTCAGGCCTGCCCCCCATATCCACAACGAAGTTCTTAGACCCTCCCACCAGGACACGGAAGGGCCCATCGTAGGGGGCCGCAGCGGGTGTACGATGGCCATCGTGGCGGATGAAGACATACTTGGCTGACGGTAAATCCTTGGGAACGTAGGACTGGGGGAGGCCATGGTGAGACATCGGAATAGGAACAAAGCGTCAGCAATGTCCTGGGAGGCAACCGACCACGGGGCTGTGGCATCAGGAAGAAACTCCCCTGGGACACGCAGAGGCTGGCCGTACACCAGCTCGGCCGATGAGGCTTGAAGATCTTCCTTGGGGGCGGAGCGAAGGCCAAGCATAACCCATGGGAGGCAGTCAGCCCAGTCGCTGCCCGTAAGGCTGGCCCTGAGTGCGGCCTTCATGTCCCGATGAAACCGCTCGCAAAGTCCGTTGCTCTGTGGGTTGTAGGCTGTGGTACGGTGGACCTTCACCCCCAGGACCTCGGCGACCGCAGTCCAAAGCTCCGATGTGAACTGCGGACCTCGGTCCGAGGAGAGGTCAGACGGTGTGCCGAAACGGGCCACCCAAGCCATAATGAACGCCCGAGCCACTTCAGCTGACGTAGTGGAGGGAAGGGGAACCACTTCTGGCCATCTGGTGGTCCTGTCCACCATGGTGAGGAGGTAGGTGTAACCACGGGAGGGGGGAAGTGGGCCCACCAGATCCACATTCACATGATCAAAACGTCTCTCCGGCACTTTGAAGGGTGCCAAAGGGGCCTTGGTATGACGAGTCACCTTTGCGCGCTGGCACGCCACACAGGCAGCAGCCCAGGCCCTGACGTCCCTCCGCAGGCCCGGCCAGACAAACTTGGCCCCCACCAGCTTGGTAGAGGCCTTCACCCCTGGGTGGGAGAGACCGTGGATGGCGTCAAAAACCTTACGCCTCCAGCCAGCAGGTACCATGGGGCGCGGTTGGCCAGTGGAGACGTCGCAGAGGAGTGTAGCGTTGGCCGCGTCAAACACCACATCTTCCATGAGCAGTGCCGTGGGGGCCGTCCTGTAGGCTTGCACCTCGGTGTCCGCAGTCTGATCACCAGCCATGGCTGCGTAGTCGAGGCCCAAGTGGACGGAGCCAGTGACCGCCCGGGAGAGGCAGTCGGCGACGAAATTGTCTTTGCCGGCTACATGCTGAATGTCAGTGGTGTACTGACGTCATTGTTCATTCTGTCACTTCAGGGGTCAAAAGAGGAAGGAACAACAACATTTTGACAGATCTGTTTCTGCTGCAGTGCTCCCCCACGTGGTTCTTTATTTTCCTTCATGTACACACTGTGTGTCACTTTTAAATAAATATACAATATGTTAATGACTATTCATTGTAACAGAACATATATTATCACTTGAGATATGTTGTGTTGTAACACAACACCAATGTATACAACTGGAGTACTTTATTTACCTTTATTACAAAACAGTAAAATCTTTACACACAGGCTTTTTATATAAGTTGAAACAGTAGAAAGTCTGGGCAGTGTTTATGAACATAAAGCCTAACTTTAACAAAAGATATGAGTTTTGATGGTTTAAGGATATGAAACTCTTCTGCAGCCAATCTAGTTATAGTCAGATTTCAGATGGTTACAGACAGTTTTTATTACACATAAATTAAATGCACTCAAGGATCTACAAAGATAAATTATATACAGTATATGTTGTTTCTGTCATGGGAATAAAATATGTGTTTTTTTTGTTGCTAGAAAACCCACAAGATGGTGCTACTGTTCTTTAATGCCTCCATGTCTCACTGACAGTGGCAGACTGTAGTTATAATAAGCTGTACCTCAGGTTATCAGAACACCACTAACAACATAAGGTCTTTGCTGGATAGAAGGAATGTCAGTGAGTTACTTTGCTAATGCGCTGGCTAATGTATTCATAACTTAATGTGGACACAAACTCAATACTGTCAAATAAAACATAGTTAGACACACTCAGGTTGAATATGATGGTTAATACTGTCAGGCTGACATCAGACTGTCAACACATTTATTTGCTCAAGTTGCCAATTTATTGCTTTTTTTGCAAAAAGAAAAGCTGAAATAACTCTGACATATTATCACGTATACAACAGATGTTATACAACAGCTGTATTTACAACATCCAGCAAAGCAGCAGCAAGTTGTGTTCTTATCCACCTGTTTAATGTAAGCCCACCATTCACTCTTGTTTTAGGTCTGTGTTGATCTCCACTAACTCCTTAAAAACATTTCTGGCTCTTTAGCTGCTAAATGTTCCTTTATGTTCAACAGCTCGTCCCTAACTGTGTCTGTTGGTTGTTTGGTGCTGAGCAGGTAGTTTACAGTAGAGCTTCCTGCTACTGCTGGAAACAGGGCTGGTGCATACTTTTAAAAACAAGGAGGATTTCAAAACGCTTTCAGACTTTCAGAGCCTTTGATTTGTGCATTCTGGTGACTTAAAGCACTTAAAATGACAAAATAATAAGTACACTGCAACATATTTTGCAGTTAATCCTCAGGGAAGACTTAATAATAACCTGAATAATAATTTGGCCCTCTGACGTGAACTTGTTTGAATCTCTGGCATAAACTCATGTTCTTCAGTTTTCACTCAGTCATTCATTCTCTTGTCTCAGGGTTGGAAAAGTATGATTTACTCAAGCGTTAATTGAAAGGCCAAAGAGCACATCATCAACTAACATTAGTTTGTGAGGTTACAGATTACATTAAAAAAGCATTGATGGTTGGGAGGATAACTTTTGCCTGTATTGTTGTCCATGTGGAAAAATGACTGTGATGATATTTGACTTTCTGGTGAGCTGACGTTGGTGTGGAAGTTGTTGATCAGTGCAGTCTAGTAGTAGCAGGACGTGCTTCTACATTTTCATAATTGACTTTGTCGCCATCCTGATGCACCTGTGAAATACAACACAACCAATGAGATTCTGAATTGTTTGAAGGGAACAAACTGTTGATGTTTCTACCAGAGAGACTGCAGCCTCTGTGGGCACAGAAGGAACAACAGTCTCAAATGAAAAAGTTACATCTTTTATTTTCCAAATCGTATTCATTATTTTTTAACTTACATTGTCGTCATCAAGTGGTTTTGTGTTCACTGAAAAACAACAATAAAAAGTACCATTAAAATTCTAAACATATGATTTATATGAACCAGTTGTACCAAATGATGGTCTGAGTTTCCTCACCTCTGTGTCTGATGACAAGAACAGTGATTACAATCATTAGGATCAGTGCTGTTATTCTTAGAGCCAACATGATAGGGCTCAGAGGCCAATCTGTAGAATCTGTTGAACATGATTTAGAAAGAAATACGTCACTGTAATCACAGTATATAAGTTCAATAGTTAATGGCCTACAAGAAAATATAACCAGAATGTTAAAAATTGTTCTACTGTGAAAATACTTTATCTCCAACATGTGAAACTTTGAGAAACCAACAGGCAAAGCTCTGTATCTGTTGAGCTGCATATTATCTTACCTGAATGAGGTTTTTCTGGCTGATCGTCTCCTGTCCCTCCTATGAAGACAGGTGTGTAGTCAGCCTCTATCTTTACATTGTTCTCATCAACAAACTGGCAGGTGTATGTCCTGTTGTGGCCACTCTGACGCTTCACTTTCAGAACAGAGACACAGTTCATCTGTCCGATGAACTTGTACCCGACACCTTCATCAAGCAGCACAGTTCCTGTCTCATCCACCCAGCGGACGCTGTTCTGTTTACAAGGACCGAGTTCAATGTATCTCGACAGAGAGCAATCTAATGTGACTTCACCGTCCCTCTTTGGATCAGCGTCTGGAGGAGATGGAGAGACTGAGAGAAAACAAGTGATAACTGTTAACTCAGTGTAAAAAATGTTTGAGCGACTTTACTTAAAGGACAATGCTGGTGCAAAATGAACCTGGGGTTAATAACACATGTGTACCGAGTTGGTCCGTTCTCTGGGATATGTTTTCATGCTAATCGACCGTGACCGGTTTTAGCACAAACCGCTAATTAGCTTATAAAGCTAGTCAACGGGGCACAGAGTAACGAGAAAAGAAATCACTTTTTATTCCACTAACAAGACTCAAAATAGCACCACACTTACACGGTAGCATAATGAGGGTCCCTACCTATAAACCGAAGCATTGAGAACTTTGTAAGTGTACAGACAGTTTATTAAAAAGATAGTTTAGAACAACAGTAGCGTTCGCGTATACAGGCGGGCTAAAACCGGTCACGGTCGATTAGCATGAAAACATATCCCAGAGAACGGACCAACTCGGTACACATGTGTTATTAACCCCAGGTTCATTTTGCACCAGCATTGTCCTTTAAAGGTCCTGACAAGTTTCTATTCATCTTCTGTCATCTTTGTTTTACTGAGTTAAAATATGAAGGTGGACTGAACCACATGGAATCAACAACTTTCAATTGTGGTTTGACAAACAAAATAAGGAAAGGAAATGATAAAAGGAAAACTGTAAAGAATATCTCATTCACTGTGAGGGTCCCTCATGTTAAGGGCCGTCCCAAACCAGAGAGACATTCAGTTCCATGTATAATGTGAGTTTATGGACATTGTCTTCCTCAAATAAAAGGGGTGTCCCCATAATGTGGAGTGTCTTTCACAGCTGAGGGAGTGAGGGAGGGGTCAGTTTGGGAAAAGGCCACAGTGTTAATTACTTCACCGTAATATAAAGAAGGATATAAAATAAACAGGTAAACTCTTCATGGTTCACCTTAATGAGAAACTGACATATTACACTGACAGACACCTTGCTCACTGGTTGGGTTTGGGAAATGCCTTTCAAGAAGAGACATAGTGGACAAGAAAAGGATGTATAACTGGATTGAGGTTGAGCTTGAAACAATACAACATTTTTGTCCCAAAAAACATTTGCCAAAAGTAAAATTCTCTCTTGATCATTTCAATAAGTTTTCATGGAATTGAGACTCACTTGTCAGAACACTTAGATATACTACTGCATCATGATGAAGGCTTGTCCCCTGCCGACAGGCGTATTGACCAGCATCCTCAGCAGTGATGTTGTTAATGACCAAAGAGCAGGAAGTGACCAGACTCATCCTGGCAGCTCGGGCTGATCTCTTCTCAACTTTTCCTTCCCAAACCTCAATGAAACTCTGAGATTGATCTCTGTTGTAAAACCATGTAACGATGGAGCATGTTGTGTCATAGGGTGATGCACTGGTACAGGGCAGAATGACATCATGTCCAGATCTGTTGTAGAGATAGATAGGTTCTCCACTGATGCCTGCTGGGAAGGAAAGAATACATGTTCTGTAAGAAATAACACATAAAACCATCTGTATGGAGACTAAACAGTTGATATGAGGATTTTATTTCATTTTATTCTCAAACAAAAACAAAGATTGTTCCGTTATGAACTGTTTTTTTCATTGTTGCTGGTTTTTTTAACATATGCAACCACAGGGAGGGAGTGTGTGACCCTCGGCCATCTAGTGGTTGTGTTTATATGAGAGTAATTCTCATTTCTATCTCAGTAAATCAGTGAATCAAGGGCTCTTTGGGATACAGCTTACCTCCACTGTGAAAACTGGAACAAAACAAGCAACACACAGTCGATCACAATGAACAAATGTTGTCTGAGACCAAATAAAAACTGCAGATCTGATCTTATTGTCTTTGTTTACTTTTGTATGTACTTGTGTCATCGTATGCACTTTATGTACTAACTGCATCAAGTTACAATGTAAATACAATAATACTTTATCACATGGATGGAATAAAGTGTCGGATCTAAAAAAATGCCTTACCACCCCAGTTTGGTGTCAATTGCTGTCACATTTTAACACATTTTGACGTCTATTTATATTTATTTTAGAATTAGTGTGTTAAAAATCAAACTCATATAATTTAATGATCTCTTATGGTCACATTTTAGACTCAGTGATCAGCTTAAGTTCAATAAACACACAAAAATGTCTGAAGATTTGGATATTTAACAATTTATTGATTTCTAATGCCACATTTATATATTTCAATCTGAATCTATTCTATTTCTATTACCAATGTGCCACAATAGTGTAATGTTATTGAGTTAAAATGTGATTAAATCAGCCGATATTTCTGCCACCCTCTTACCACACCATGAATATTTCTCTAGATCCGCCCCTGGGTGGAGTTTAAAGGAACCAATGAGAACACAGAGAGCAGACGGACTATATGATCATTATTTATCTTTATATCTACTATGTTGAAGTATATATGCATTTAAGGATCTATCTAAAAATAATTGATTCATATTGCTATCCTGTTCTTGTCTCACAGTCGTTGGTTCATTTTTACAGGCCAGAAAGTTGATCAAAGCTCATTAAAATGGCTTTTAAAGTAAGACAATAGTGACTACTTCCTCATTATTTTTCACTCGAGCCATTAACAAATGTTAATGAAAATTCTCAAACTCTAGTGTTTCTATTAATAATATTATTATTACCATTTAAATAAGAAAACAGAGCTTTACCTTCAAAGTGAAGCACAAAAATAGGGATTAATTCCAGTAGAGACATTTTGTGTCTATTCTCTGTCAGCAGACGGACGCTGTGTGAGGCTTTTCTTCTCTACTATAGATCTGTAAATGGCGGCAATGAAACAAAGTTCCTGTTATGGATGACTTAATGTGTGAAAATAACTTTTAACAGCAACACCCACCACCCAGCCCCCACAAGTGCCACAGAGTTAGACTATCATCACTTCTATGTTCCTTTCAAGCAGACTGCACACGACAGCCAGAGAAGAAAGAAGTATCAAGTTTCACAAACTTGATACTTCTTGAACAAAAAGATTAGAATATAACTTTTTATTAAGTTTTAAAATCATTTAAGATACATTAAAAGTGACTTTACTAGACCGATATACAGATCATAATCTACAGGAAGTAATGAGACTTCCTCAAAATATACACACAGTACATATTAAGATACATTAATATCCTTCTTTCTTTTTTTTATCAGATGAAAACCTTGTATGTCCAAATGTCAACATGCTGGAAACTCAAACGGTAATCTTTTATCAGCTGGATGATGGTACATTTTGGTCTCATTTAAAGGAATTTGTGAGAGTTATTTTAGCCCCAGACTCAAGTGTGATCAACATACAGAGTAATGGAAATGACGTCATTGTTCATTCTGTCACTTCAGGGGTCAAAAGAGGAAGGAACAACAACATTTTGACAGATCTGTTTCTGCTGCAGTGCTCCCCCACGTGGTTCTTTATTTTCCTTCATGTACACACTGTGTGTCACTTTTAACTAAATATACAATATGTTAATGACTATTCATTGTAACAGAACATATATTATCACTTGAGAAATGTTGTGTTGTAACATAACACCAATGTATACAACTGGAGTACTTTATTTACCTTTATTACAAAACAGTAAAATATTTACACACAGGCTTTTTATATAAGTTGAAACAGTAGAAAGTCTGGGCGGTGTTTATGAACATAAAGCCTAACTTTAACAAAAGATATGAGTTTTGATGGTTTAAGGATATGAAACTCTTCTGCAGCCAATCTAGTTATAGTCAGATTTCAGATGGTTGTTTCAGACTGTAGTTATAATAAGCTGTACCTCGGGTTATCAGAACACCACTAACAACATAAGGTCTTTGCTGCATAGAAGATGGTTAATACTGTAAGGCTGAAATCAACACACAAGACTATCAACACATTTATATGAGAAAAATTAAACCAGTGATGAAAGAAAATGTTTAAACGAAAGAAAGAAATAAAATCATTTAAAATCATTTGAATCCCAAGTTACCAATTTATTGCTTCTTTGCAAAAGAAAGGTTTTTTGCCTGTATTGTCCATGTGGAAAAATGACTGTGATGATATTTGACTTTCTGGTGAGCTGACGTTGGTGTGGAAGTTGTTGATCAGTGCAGTCTAGTAGTAGCAGGACGTGCTTCTACATTTTCATAATTGACTTTGTCGCCATCCTGATGCACCTGTGAAATACAACACAACCAATGAGATTCTGAATTGTTTGAAGGGAACAAACTGTTGATGTTTCTACCAGAGAGACTGCAGCCTCTGTGGGCACAGAAGGAACAACAGTCTCAAATGAAGAAGTTACATCTTTTATTTTCCAAATCTTATTCATTATTTTTTAACTCACATTGTCGTCATCAAGTGGTTTTGTGTTCACTGAAAAACAACAATAAAAAGTACCATTAAAATTCTAAACATATGATTTATATGAACCAGTTGTACCAAATGATGGTCTGAGTTTCCTCACCTCTGTGTCTGATGACAAGAACAGTGATTACAATCATTAGGATCAGTCCTGTTATTCTTAGAGCCAACATGACAGGGTTCAGAGGCCAATCTGTAGAATCTGTTGAACATGGTTTAGAAAGAAATACGTCACTGTAGTCACAGTAAATAAGTTCAATAGTTAATGGCCTACAAGAAAATATAACCAGAATGTTACAAATTGTTCTACTGTGAAAATAGTTTATCTCCAACATGTGAAAGTTTGAGAAACCAACAGGCAAAGCTCTGTATCTGGTGAGCTGCATATTATCTTACCTGAATGAGGTTTTTCTGGCTGATCGTCTCCTGTCCCTCCTATGAAGACAGGTGTGTAGTCAGCCTCTATCTTTACATTGTTCTCATCAACAAACTGGCAGGTGTATCTCCTGTTGTGGCCACTCTGACGCTTCACTTTCAGACCAGAGACACAGCTCATCTGTCTGAGAAACTCGTACCCGACACCTTCATCAAGCAGCACAGTTCCTGTCTCATTCACCCAGCGGACACTGTTTAGTTCACAACGATCGAGTCCATTGTGTCTCGACAGAGAGCACACTAATGTGACTTCACCGTCCCTCTTTGGATCAGCGTCTGGAGGAGATGGAGAGACTGAGAGAAAACAAGTGATAACTGTTAACTCAGTGTAAAAAATGTTTGAGCAACTTTACTTAAAGGACAATGCTGGTGCAAAATGAACCTGGGGTTAATAACACATGTGTACCGAGTTGGTCCGTTCTCTGGGATATGTTTTCATGCTAATCGACCGTGACCGGTTTTAGCACAAACCGCTAATTAGCTTATAACGCTAGTCAACGGGGCACCGAGTAACGTGAAAAGAAATCACTTTTTATTCCACTAACAAGACTCAAAATAGCACCACACTTACACGGTAGCATAATGAGGGTCCCTACCTATAAACCGAAGCATTGAGAACTTTGTAAGTGTACAGACAGTTTATTAAAAAGATAGTTTAGAACAACAGTAGCGTTCGCGTATACAGGCGGGCGCTATCTTGGGAAAACAGTCAGGGGTTCGGTCATTCATGCAGATCAATGATCAAGATTTATAGCTGGCGATGTGAACTAAAACAAACGTAATTTGCTCAATATATCAGAAATAATCCCATCGATGTAAAACACAACTTGTCTAGTGTACTTACTCAGTGGATAACTGTCCATCTGGTCCCTCCGCTATGAGTCGCTGCCTCCAATTTATTTTCGGGACGTGGAAAAAAGTTTCGAGTACAGCTCTGTTCATCAGCGTTTCACGTGAGATTCACTTCACGTCTCCGTGGAAACGTTGTTGCTGGAAGAAAGCACTGAGCACATAAGAGAAGCACTGAACGCAACAGAGACTAGTGCTTCCACAGGATACACACTAAAGAAATGGCGGATTATTCAACTGAATTTGAAGACATCGACAACGAACCCTTTCAGTTTGATGGACGTCCTTATCTTTTGGAGCCGGAATATACAGACGAAGAGCTGCGGGAGCTCCGTGAAAGGGCTACGAGAGAGAGAGAGCTACCGGTAGTCAATGCCGCAACACAGCCTCGTACTTCGGGAAACTGGTGGTGTACCTGCGGACATGGTGAAGTTATGGCCACCGAAGAGGAGTGCCTGTGTTGCACGGAGTGGGACCTGTTGCGTCGCGACACCCAAGAGACGCAGTGTTTTGTACAGTCAGTACAGATTTCCCCTCTCTGATAAACAGAGCTGTACTCGCAGCGACTCATAGCGGAGGGACCAGATGGACAGTTATCCACTGAGTAAGTACACTAGACAAGTTGTGTTTTACATCGGTGCGATTATTTCTGATATATTGAGCAAATTACGTTTGTTTTAGTTCACATCGCCAGCTGTAAATCTTGATCATTGATCTGCATGAATGACCGAACCCCTGACTGTTTTCCCAAGATAGCGCCCGCCTGTATACGCGAACGCTACTGTTGTTCTAAACTATCTTTTTAATAAACTGTCTGTACACTTACAAAGTTCTCAATGCTTCGGTTTATAGGTAGGGACCCTCATTATGCTACCGTGTAAGTGTGATGCTAGTTTGAGTCTTGTTAGTGGAATAAAAAGTGATTTCTTTTCACGTTACCGGTGCCCCGTTGACTAGCTTTATAAGCTAATTAGCAGTTTGTGCTAAAACCGGTCACGGTCGATTAGCATGAAAACATATCCCAGAGAACGGACCAACTCGGTACACATGTGTTATTAACCCCAGGTTCATTTTGCACCAGCATTGTCCTTTAAAGGTCCTGACAAGTTTCTATTCATCTTCTGTCATCTTTGTTTTACTGAGTTAAAATATGAAGGTGGACTGAACCACATGGAATCAACAACTTTCAATTGTGGTTTGACAAACAAAATAAGGAAAGGAAATGATAAAAGGAAAACTGTAAAGAATATCTCATTCACTGTGAGGGTCCCTCATGTTAAGGGCCGTCCCAAACCAGAGAGACATTCAGTTCCATGTATAATGTGAGTTTATGGACATTGTCTTCCTCAAATAAAAGGGGTGTCCCCATAATGTGGAGTGTCTTTCACAGCTGAGGGAGTGAGGGAGGGGTCGGTTTGGGAAAAGACCAAAGTGTTAATTAACCTTTTTAAATAAGAATAAGGATGTAAATAAACACTGCCCACATTGCAACATTTTCCTCATGTGCCAAAAGTAGAATATCTTTCAATGAGTTTTCATGGAATTGAGACTCACTTGTCAGAACATTTAGATATACCATTGCATCATGATGAAGGCTTGTCCCCTGTCGACAGATGTAGACACCAGCATCCTCAGCAGTGATGTTGTTAATGACCAAAGAGTAGGAAGTGTCCAGACTCATCCTGGCAGCTCGGGCTGAGCTCTTCTCAACTTTTCCTTCCTGAACCTCAATGAAAATCTGAGATGGATCTCTGTTGTAAAGCCATGTAACGATGGAGCATGTTGTGTCAGAGGGTGATGCACTGGTACAGGGCAGAATGACATCATGTCCAGATCTGTTGTAGAGATAGATAGGTTCTCCACTGATGCCTGCTGGGAAGAAAAGAATACATGTTCTGTAAGAAATGACACATAAAACCATCTGTATGGAGACTAAACAGTTAACATGAGGATTTTATTTCATCTTATTCTCAAACACAAACAAAGATTGTTCCTTTATGAACTGTTTTTGATTGTTGCTGTTTTTTACATATGCAACCACAGGGAGGGAGTGTGTGACCCTCGGCCATCTAGTGGTTGTGTTTATATGAGAGTAATTCTCATTTCTATCTCAGTAAATCAGTGAGTCAAGGGCTCTTTGGGATACAGCTTACCTCCACTGTGAAAACTGGAAAAAAACAAGCAACACACAGTCGATCACAATGAACAAATGTTGTCTGAGACCAAATAAAAACTGCAGATCTGATCTTATTGTCTTTGTTTACTTTTGTATGTACTTGTGTCATCTTATGCACTTTATGTATAACTGCATCAAGTTAGAATGTAAATACAATAATACTTTATCATATGGATGGAATAAAGTGTCGGATCTAAAAAATGCCTTACCACCCCAGTTTGGTGTCAATTGCCATCACATTTTAACACATTTTGACGTCTATTTATATTTATTTTAGAATTAGTGTGTTAAAAATCAAACTCATATAATTTAATGATCTGTTATGGTCACATTTTAGACTCAGTGATCAGCTTAAGTTCAATAAACACACACAAATGTCTGAAGATATAGATATTTAACAATTTATTGATTTCTAATGCCACATTTATATATTTCTATCTGAATCTATTCTATTTCTATTACCAATGTGCCAAAATAGTGTAATGTTATTGAGTTAAAATGTGATTAAATCGGCAGATATTTCTGCCACCCTCTTACCACACCATGAATATTTCTCTAGATCCGCCCCTGGGTGGAGTTTAAAGGAACCAATGAGAACACAGAGAGCAGACGGACTATATGATCATTACTTATCTTTATATCTACTATGTTGAAGTATACATGCATTTAAGGATCTATCTAAAAATAATTGATTCATATTGCTATCCTGTTCTTGTCTCACAACCGTTGGTTCATTTTTACAGGCCAGAAAGTTGATCAAAGCTCATTAAAATGGCTTTTAAAGTAAGACTATAGTGACTACTTCCTCATTATTTTTCACTCGAGCCATTAACAAATGTTAATGGAAATTCTCAAACTCTAGTGTTTCTATTACTAATATTGTTATTACCATTTTAATAAGAAAACAGAGCTTTACCTTCGAAGTGAAGCACAAAAATAAGGATTAATTCCAGTAGAGACATTTTGTGTCTATTCTCTGTCAGCAGGCGGACGCTGTGTGAGGCTTTTCTTCTCTACTATAGATCTGTAAATGGCGACGATTAAACAAAGTTCCTGTTGTGGATGACTTAATGTGTGAAAATAACTTTTAACAGCAACACCTAACACCCAGCCCCCCACAAGTGTCACAGAGTTAGACTATCATCACTTCTATGTTCCTTTCAAGCAGACTGCACACGACAGCCACAAAAGAAAGAAACTTGTGTTTCACAAACTTGATACTTCTTGAACAAAAAGATTAGAATATAACTTTTTATTAAGTTTTTAAATCATTTAAGATACATTAAAAGTGACTTTACTAGACAGATATACAGATCATAATCTACAGGAAGTAATGAGACTTCCTCAAAATATACACACAGTACATGTTAAGATACATTAATATCCTTCTTTCCTTTTTTTTATCAGATGAAAACCTTGTATGTCCAAATGTCAACATGCTGGAAACTCAAATGGTAATCTTTTATCAGCTGGATGATGGTACATTTTGGTCTCATTTAAAGGAATTTGTGAGAGTTATTTTAGCCCCAGACTCAAGTGTGATCAACATACAGAGTAATGGAAATGACGTCATTGTTCATTCTGTCACTTCAGGGGTCAAAAGAGGAAGGAACAACAACATTTTGACAGATCTGTTTCTGCTGCAGTGCTCCCCCACGTGGTTCTTTATTTTCCTTCATGTACACACTGTGTGTCACTTTTAACTAAATATACAATATGTTAATGACTATTCATTGTAACAGAACATATATTATCACTTGAGAAATGTTGTGTTGTAACATAACACCAATGTATACAACTGGAGTACTTTATTTACCTTTATTACAAAACAGTAAAATATTTACACACAGGCTTTTTATATAAGTTGAAACAGTAGAAAGTCTGGGCGGTGTTTATGAACATAAAGCCTAACTTTAACAAAAGATATGAGTTTTGATGGTTTAAGGATATGAAACTCTTCTGCAGCCAATCTAGTTATAGTCAGAT